GGCAGAGACCGCGCCCAAAGGCTGCGCTCTGCGAGGGCCGGGGCCGCTCTGACGCTGCCGTCCTGGGGAGCCCTGTCCCTGCCCAAAGCCCCCGGTGTCACGCAGGAGCCAGAGCCGCCTGGCTAGCTGGGCTCCCGGCACCCCTGTCGGGAAGAGAGGAGGGGTACGAGGGACCCCAGGGCTCGTGAACCCGGAGCCTAGAAGATCCAAGTGCTTTCGCACATAGACGGGAGGAACCCTCCTCTCTGGGAGCTCGTTTGCAGTGGTTTTCTGGAGGAAAGCCTGGCTGTGACCTAGATAGTGTCCCAGGACGTTGAAAGAGGAGTGGGTCAGAGCAGAGAAACAACGAAGCGAGGGACAGGGACCAATTTCTAGGAGCCCAGAGGAGACTCGGGTAGTCTCCTCCGTTGTGCCTTTGCCCCTGTTTGCAACCTCCCAGCTGCCAAGACCAAACAGAAGGGAGTTTTTCTTCTTGGCCAGGGCTTGGGGTTGCGGATACAGAGATCTTTTACAGCTTCAGAATGAGCAAAGGGTTTTGGTATTTCCTCCTAGAATGTTACACGACAGACCCAAAAAATGCTAAAAAGAAAAATCCAGCTGGCTGTGGTGCAGGCAGTTCCTAGCTCTTCCCTGGATGCTTAGCCAGGCTCAGAGGGAGCAAACCGGGGGTCTGCTGTCCCCTCTGCCAGCCTGGAGTCCCAAAGCGGTGGCGGTGATTCACCTCCCTCTCTCGGAGCTGGCCCCACATCCCCAGCCTAGAGGACCGACTGCAGGGCACTCGGTGTGTCCTTCAGCCTCCACGTCTGCTTTGCTGCTCCCCCACCCTCTCCCTTCATTCCGCATGTCTGCGGCTGGATTCCCCATGCGGCTGCTTGGCTGAGCTGCAAACCTTTAATTGATTCCTCTCCGCAGGACTGGACTGTTAGCAGCCCTGGGGTTTTGACGGCACAGCCGCAGGCTCCTTGCCCACACGGACCAGGAGACAGCCTGAAGAGAGACGGGCGCCGGGCCAGGGACCCGGAGCCTGGACTCTGCCACCCCCAAACCCCCGCAGCCCGTGGTCGGGCAGGCACAGCTGAGCCCCTGAAGGCTTGGTGCCATCCTTCAGCAGTCCTGGCTCTGTGTCCAGCTGCCGTGTCCCTCCTTCTTGCCGCTCTTGGCCCCTTTCCCTCGCTGCATCGCAATGAGTCATCTTTGCTGAGCTCACCCACCGGAGCCGCAGGGGGCTGGCAGGCCTGGCACCGAGGGAGGGTCCCTCACCTGGCAGCACGTGAGCCACGAGCTGCAGCCTGTGCAGGCACCGGGATGCATCCTGGTTTCTCCTGCCCATCCCCTGACTGGGCACCCAGCCTGGGCGCAGGGCAGAAGGAGGGGAAAGGCAACGTACACAGGCCTCGCTGCAGGCAGCTGCAGGCCTGTGCCATGCTCATTTCGTGTCTGGCATGGAGGATCCAGACAGGGAAAAGAGAGTGTGGCTGGCGTTGCCTGGGGATATGGAAAAGTGATGCTGGCCGGAGACACACAGCGCCTCATTCCCTAGCTCGTTGCGGGTCACCATGCAGTGAATCAGACGTCGTGATGAGGAGCAGGCTACAGAGCACCATTTGTGCGAAAGAAGGCAGCCTGCCCGTCTGTGCCGTCTGTGCCCATGTCTGCCCCACTGAGTGCCCACATCTGTGTGCCAGAGCAATGGCCTGTCTAACTGCCCCTCTCCTTCCCTGCCCAGGCTCCCCTCTCAGTGACAGCCTCCGCCAGGCACCTCAGCGGAAAGATGAACCCCACCGTCGGCATCGCTGTCATCCTGACAGGTACAGCCAGCAGACGCACATCCCCTCCCCGCTCTCCAGCGAGCTTGGCCTGGAGCAGCCGGGCAAGGGCCAGGAGGCTGCACGGGCATCCCTAGTGCTTGCTGTTCCCTGTCCAACCCCTGCTTGACTCTCCCAGTCCTCCAGGCTGCCCATTGCCAGATGATCAAGGACCTGAGTGCCTGCCTGCTGGGCCAGAGCCTCCGGGTGGACTGCCGTTATGAGAACAAAACCAGCAACCCCCTGACCTACGAGTTCAGCATCACCAAGGACAACAGGAAGCACGTCATCCACAGCACCATCAGCGTCTCCGAGAACGTCTACCGGAGCCGAGCCAACGTCACCATGCACAAGAACCTGGTGTGCCTCTACCTGCAGAGCTTCACTACCAGCGATGAGGGTGTATACATGTGTGAGCTGAAGGCCACGAATGACTACACCGGCAACCAGATAAAGAACATCACTGTCATCAAAGGTGAGACGGGCAGCGGCGCCTGGCCTCAGTCCCTCCTTCCCACCAGCTCCTTGGCTTGGCAGGGCCAGCAGAGAAAACCACAACCCCCTGTGGCATCCCCAAACCCTCCCAGAGCCCCATAAACATTTCCCAACCCTTACTTGCCCTTCCTACTGCAAGCAGAGTGGTCAGCCCCTCAGATGGCCTCACTGCCCCATTGCAGACTGCTTACCCCTGCCTGTCTCGGGCCCTGCTTCAGGCGCACTGCCCGAGGACTATGAGGTGTCCTCCTGCAGGTGATGCTTCACAGTCAGTCCCAGCAGAGGGGACAAGTCTGCTGGTGAAGGACTGAAGAGGTGTGTGGTCTGGAGCGGGAGCGCAGCGGGGATTCTCCACGCTTACATCCCGTAGGAGCAGTCCTCCAGTTGCAGAGCCCTTCGTCTTACCTGGTGCCAATCCCCTTGCCGCCTCACTCAGGCACAGGCAGGGTTATGCTTCCCTGCTCTGTGCCCCCAAAATCTTTGCCACTACATGGGCACAAGGCAGGAGGGGAAACAGGCAAGGGGCCAGGATGGGACTTGCTGCATTTCTGTGACAGAGAAAAAGCAAAAAGCTGAGTCCCAGTACCCCTTCTAGCACCCAGTCAGATCCCTGTTCCCGAGGGATTTCATTGTGGCTCTTCTCTTCCTCCCTGTTCCCTGTCCTCACAGACAAACTGGAGAAATGCGCCGGCTTCAGCCTCTTGGTCCAGAACACTTCGTGGCTCCTGCTGCTTCTCCTTTCCCTGCCTCTCCTGCAAGCCATGGACTTCGTGTCCCTGTGAAAGGAAAAGCTCACACACACGCACACACACACGCACGCACACACACATGCACGCACACACCGAGTACCCCAGCCAACCTGCCTCCCCTGCCAGAACGCAGCCCTCGGAAAGAGAAGCTGAACCATTTGGAACAAGCAAAACCTCTCCCTGTGTTATCTCTATATAGCCGTGTATCTAACGCTAACCACTGTCCTGTGCCGAGACCCACCATCACACACACACATGCTCTGCTGCGAAGCATGGTGGCTCTGCTAGGCAGCGCTGCTTCTCCCATCGCACCTCCCCACTCAGTAGGCTGGCTGGTTTGCTCATGTTGGGAGCACTGGAGCCTCGGCCCCGCATAGCCCACTTCTCCTGTCCCTTTAACTTTTGGGGTTTGCCTGTTCTGGACTGGGGAACGACAGCTGGATTGGCAGGTAAGAGAGAGAGATGATGCGAAAGCGTGCAGAGGAGTCCCCGTGCTGGGTGCTGTGCCCAGCACAGGGGGAGGAGATGGGGCTGCCAGCTCCTCCCACCAGCCCGGTGACTTAGTGATTTCTCAGCCTGCTCCTCTCACCCTGAGTCACCCCGAGCTGCCACGACTGGGAGGGCGTGCGAGGAGAGTCCTGTCTCAGAGCAAGCAGGGAAGAGACAGAGGGAGCAGGGGAGGCATGAGATGATGCTGGTCTTGGCCAGGCTGGGAGGAGAGAGGGGAGCAGGTCTTGGAGATACCCGTCAAATGCCCTTGCCTCCTTCAGGCTCCTCTGGGGCCCTGGGAGGGAGCTCCCTGCAAACGTATTTTGGAAGCAAGCTTTTCCTGATCTGTGTTTTACAGCTGAGCTGGCAGCGAGGCCTCCAGACATCAACTGGTACCTTTGGGCTGCCCAAGCCCGAGACACCACTTGCTCTCTCTGGGGATCAGCCCTTAGCTGTGACGAGAGAATTGCTGCCAGCACCCGCTCACAGTGGAGGCAAGCAGAGCCTCTCTGAGCTCTCCACAGCCCTGCCTTCGCCCCTGCTCCGCCCTCCGAGGCCCCCACAGCTGGATCCAGGCAGGCTGGTGGGGAGGGGGCTCCCCTGCAGGAGCATGTCCCCAGGGTCTCTACAGGGACTCCTCTGCACCGTCACCGAGTCTTCCCCGAGGGAGCACCTGGGGGCCCTGATCCTTCCTCATGGCACACGTCCCGGTGCCTGGCCCTGAGTATGCTCAGCAGCCTTCCTCCAGCGCAGTCTTCCTCCAGTCCCACCATGCCGCTGGGAGGAGCCCATGTGCCTTCTCCCTCCTCCCTTTCAGCATTTCCCTGTCTCCATTGCAGAGCAGAAAAGGGCCTAAGGGCAGCCCAGCTCTTGGCCACCGCCTCAGTAAGGCTGGGACCTTCCCAGGGGTCAGCAAGAGCGGGGAGAGGGACGCTGAGCACAGCCCACATCTCCCAGCCCTGGCCTGCCCCAATGCCCCACAGACCCTGAGGAGCTGGTGGGCTGCTGCCCCGGCCTCCCCGAAACCTGGCGGCTCCCGGGCTATGAGCAGCCCAGCTGGGCAGGGGGAGAGAGAATGGGACTGGAGGGCCAGCCCTGCCCAGGGGAAGATGCAGGCAGGAGCATCCGGGTCCGTGGGGCAAACCCCAGCCCCGCTGAGCTACCCGAGCAGCCTGGGCTGTGCCACCGCAGCTGAGAGCAATCCACAGCAGCTGCTCCCCACTCCTTGCTCTTCTCCAGACACCACAAGCTGCCTCCTACCGCCGTGCCCGTTCCCTGCCCATCCCCGCCTGCTTGCTTGCTGTCTAGTGCTGCTGAGGCCGTGTATAGCTGAGGTCTGGCTGCGCCCAGCTCCCTGGGCTTGCTGGTGAGCGCCAGGGCAGGCGCAGAGCCCAGGCAGCAGAGCACGGATGCGTCTCAAGTTTCATGTTTTTGTGAATATTTGTAGTTGTTTCCACAGCTTGTTGTAAAAGAAATTCTGTTAAGGGAGAAAAAAAAAGAACCCTACAAAAAAAAGCAAGAACAAAAACCCCTGTCCTCCAGGAGCGTTCCTCTTGGGCTCCAGGGACAGCCTGTGCCCTCAGCCTCCCGGCGAGGGGGACACCCTTCCTGGGCAGCTCCCACCGTGCCTCCCCCCAGGCCTCCAGCAGCCTGAGCCCTTGCCAGAGAGAAGCAGGCAGGAACAAAACTTGCCTTCCCCCGGGGACAGTCACCCCCTCCTGCCTGCCTGGAGCAGGGACTCCTGCGCCCAGGCCCTTTGCCCCTGTCCCCATCCCATCCCTGTCCCTATCCCCCCTGCTCCATCCCGGAGGCCTCCCCGTCGCCCCATTGTGAGCTCAGGGTGAGGGCTGCCCGCTGTGCCGGCAGGGAGGCAAAGCGTGGTAAGTACGAGCGGGCACCCTCGGGCTGGTCCTGGCCCAGCCATCCTCTGGGCAGGGAATTGCCAGGGCTGGGAGCGCGTGTGGGAGCAGGGCTGGGTGTGTACGCATGTCCCGAAGCTCCTGGTCCCGGAGCAGTGTGCCCATCATGCCAGTGTCCTTCCTGCGTGTCTGTGCCTGCATGCTGCCCATGGGGCTGCCGAGGGCCCCTGCATCCACTAGAGCAGCAAGAGCAGCCATGCGCTGCCCCCTGCCCAGGGTCAAGATGCCATCCTGTGAGCCGAAGACCACGGGGCATGCTCGCCCGCGGGTTTGGGAGCAGGGCCTTGCCACCATCCCCTTGCACCACTGGTGACCCCGTAGTAGCCTCCCAGAGTCACACCCAGATGCGTCCCTTGTGTGGCCCTCCCTGTTTAGGGTCTGGAGCTGGGCAGGAGGGAGGAAAATGCCACCGTAATTGCCTCCCTCCTAATTACCCTTGGCAGGTGCTAGCTGAGTCACAGCGGCTCAGGTGCTGGCGTACGGCGAGGCCATGCCACCCTGGGTGGGTCAGGCATCAGGGAGCGGTGCTGGGTGGGTGCCCCGGTGTCCCCGTGGAGCCAAGAGGGGTGGGTGCTCCTGTGCCCGCATCGCCATGATGGCTGCCACATGCCCACCTTCACTGCAGGCTTACTGGGCTCTTCTCCCTATGGCTTGCCCCAAGCGGAGCAAAACCCAGACCACCTTCCTCCCCTCACCTTGATGCTTTGCTCCAGACCTTACTGGCAGCCATGGGCACCCCTTCTTTCTGCCACCCTGACCCCCACACCAAGTTGTGTCCCACCCTGCTCCCTCTCTCAACACTTCATCCATCCTTTCCCTCCTGGACCTCTATCTCCCTCCCCAAATCTCCCCACACTTACCCTCAGGCATTCTTCTTCATTCCCACAGCCCCCCTGCCTCTACAGCCTTCCCTTCCAGCAGCCGCTTGCCGTGGGCCACCAGCCCCCTTGGTTTCATGTCCCCTTTAAGCCTTCCCAAAGCTGGAATGTGAGAGGAGCATTTCAGCGCCCTGTGAGGTCAGATAAAGACACTATATTTATCTAGCCGGTAACCTGAGCTGTGAAATTCTGTGGTGGCATATTTACGCGGCCCCACAGCCCTCCGGCTCAGCCCCCTCTGGCCACTGCGTCTCCTCCCTGCACCGTGGAGAAGCTGAGCTGTGGGGTGGCCTGTTCCCCACAAAGGGTTCAGGTGCTGCCAGCCCCTCTGCATCAGTTGCTCTCCTCTGGCCCCAGGGGAAGCTCTCCGAGGAGGCAGGATCAGTTCCCCGCGCTCAGCCCTGTGGGCATCACCCCATGGACAGATGCTTGCCCCCTGCCATGCCAGCCTCGCGCCCCTGACCAGCCACCGGCCGCCCGCGCTGCCGCCCCACACGAAGGTGAGTGGAGAGGGTGCCTTGGGGATACCAGTCCCAGGGAGGGGGCTGCAGCGTCACTATGGGAGAGAGGTTTGCAGTCTCTACATCTCCAGAGAGCGGGTTCAGAGTTCACAAGCGAAAACTTGGCAGCTCTCTGCCACCAAGCTGCACTCCCCAGCACCCGCCTCGTCCCGCAGTGTGGGCAGTGCCACACGCCTGGGCACTTCCCCGGGGTCCCTTCTTTTCTTCTGCCCGCAGACCTCAGAACAATATCATGCCCTTACATCAAGGTCCCCCACGGGTTTGGGGTTTTACTGACTGGGGGGCGGCCCCGGAGCGGTGAGTAGCAGGTAGCAGGTT